GTAGACTCAAACGACGGGTCAGTGACAACAGTGGCTAGGAGACGCGTGACAGTAGGGTGCTCAGTACGAAACCGGTCAGACTCAGGGTCCGGAACGGCAGGCAGAGAGGACGCAGGAGGAGACGGCAGAGGAACAGGCGGCGGAGCAGAGGAAGGACGACGGACTACGAGGTGTGCGCCGGGGACAGCCGGCTGACGCGAACGAGGAACACGACGACCGGTACGACCAGGACGAGCAGGCGAAACAGGACGCGACGCAGGCTCACGACGCTCAGCAGGACTACCAGTCTGCTCAGTGTAAGGAGAAGGAGCAGGCAGCGGTGAGCCAGGCTGTAACGGAAGACCAGTAGACGACGGAAGAGTAAGAACCTGACGAAGAACAGAGGCAGACGGCGGCAGAGACGACGGAGACGGCGGAGCGAAGAACAGTCATGTCGGCGCAGCTGCACCAGTACCAGCAGCTCCAGCAGCTCCAGTGCCTCCAGCAGCTCCAGTACCTCCAGCAGCTCCAGTACCTCCAGCAGCTCCAGAAGCTCCAGGCCCAGAGCCGACACCTCGAGTCCCAGGGTCTCCAACCTCTGTGTCTCCAGCAGCAGCACCCCCAGAACCAGCACCTCCAGTCCCAGGGTCTCCAACCTCAGTGTCTCCAGTAGTAGCACCCCCAGAACCAGCACCTCCAGTAGACAAAGGACCAGCACGACTCCTAGCTCCAGCGGCGCGACGCTGACGGCGACCGTACCAGTCCTGCAGCTGCTGTGGGGTGAGAGGCACACGTGGACGAAGGCGGCTACTCCAAGGAGACCGCGCAACAGCAGACTCAGAACCCTCAGCGCCCGCACCCCCAACGGCTCCAGAACCTCCGGTGTCAGTACCCTCAGCACCAGTACCTCCAGCGGCTCCAGAACCTCCAGCGCGAGCACCCTCAGCAGCTCCAGAACCTCTAGCTCCAGCGCCACCAGGACTAGGCCCTCCAGCAGCTCCCGAACCTCCAGCGCCAGCACCCTCAGTAGCTCCAGAACCTCCAGCGTCAGTACCGCCAAGCTCAGCACCCCCAGACCCCTCACACTCAGGCTCAGCACCACCAGGCTCTACACCCTCAAGCTCCGCACCCTCAGGCTCAGTACCCCCAGGCTCAGCACCCCCAGGCTCCGCACCCCCAGGCTCAGCACCCCCAGAAGTAGCACCCCGAGCAGGACCACTCTCAGTAGGACCTGAGTCACCAGTGACCTCAACCGGCGCAGTCAAGGGAGGAGGGTCTACCTGAGAAACACCTGAAGGAGCAGGACCGGGAGCGGGGAGGGGGTCTACCTGGGGAGCACCTGGAGCGAGGAAGAGCGGCGGGGGGGGGGAGCGGGGCAGTGCGGTAGGGGAAGAGACGGTAAAAGGGAACCGACTCGTCGAACGTGACGTCCTGAGACGCAAAGACACGGCGCGAGGTGGGGTGGTAAAACTGCCAACCAGGCGCGTCAGGGACAAAGCCAAGGAAGACACAGGGAACAGCGCGGGCGGAGAGCTTGTCCGCGGTGGTATCGCGGACAAAGGCACGAGCACCCCAGACCCGGAAACGCGACGCATCGCCAACCTTCCCCGTCCACAGCAGTGTGGGCGAGGTCTCCGGCAAGGAGACACGGGGCCAGAGGTTGAGCTGATGCGCGGCGTACCGGACCGCAAACGGCCACAGAAAATGGGGGGCAGTCGCATGGATCATGGAGGTACGAGCGACCTCCATGACTAAGCCAATGCGGCGCTCAGCAACCCCATTCTGCTGCGGAGAGGCCGGAAGCGTGAACGACTGGGTGATGCCGTGCTCCGCACAGTAGGCTGCCAAGAGGTCGGAGGAGAACTCACCACCTCTGTCAGAGTGCAGACGCAGGACAGGAAAGTCCGACCGGAACCGCTCGCGGAGCTGGAGACGAACTGCGCGGATCCAGGGGATCAAAACAGCAGGGACATCCGCCTTGCTCCGCAAGGGGAAGACCGTGGTGTAACGCGTGTAGTCGTCGACAACCAGCAGGAAGTACCGCTCGTGGCCCTGTCCCTGGACGCGGGCTGGGCCCCACACGTCCAGGTGGAGCGTCTGCAGTGGAGCCTCTGTGGGAGGAAACGAGGAGGAGTGAGGAGCGGCGCGTTGCCGCCCCTCGACGCAAGGAATGCAGGGCGGCGCAGGCGAGGGAGGGAGGGCAGGCAGAGACCTGGGGAGACCAGAGAGCGAGAGTGCATGCTACGCAGGCGAGGCAAGGAGGGGTGACCAAGGCGGTGGTGCCACAGGAGAGTGTCGTGCGACAAAGCGCGACACTCGCAGGGGGCCGCCAGCTGACCAGACGTAGACGCAGACGCAGCTACCTGAGGGGACTCAGTGGTCAGTGTGTACAGACTCGAGCCAGGTGCACGGGTGAACGTGGCCAAGTGCCGGCCCGTCCTAGCACACGTACAGTGAGTCACTCGCTGACTCGCAGGAGTGAACTGGTGAACCCCCCCATCCTGGAGGTCAGCTCCACTCACCAAGTTCGTAGAGAACGAGGGGAGGTAAAGACCTGACAGGAAGCCAGACGGGACGGCCGGACACGGCAGAACCGTGGAGTAGTGGGCAAGGACTGGACCCCCAGAGGGGTCCGCCAGGGAGACCGGGACTGGCCGACGGAGCGGCGTGAGTGCGGTGCAGTCGCGAAAGAAGGAGCGGGAAGCTCCTGAGTCAAGGGTGAAGGTGTGCGAGACCGCAGTGGGCGCAGTACCAGAGAGAGCAGACTCAGCAGCACCTGAAGTCACGGCCTCACCAGTACCTAGAGCAGTAGACGTACTAGCACCGAGAGCAGCAGCCTCACCAGCACCTAGAGCAGGAGACGCACTAGCACCTAGGGCAGCAGCCTCACCAGGGTCAGGCGGTACGCACAGGCAACAGGCACGGTCAGCACTAGTAGACAAGGCATACATGGCAGTGAGAATAGCATCATAGTCAAGCGCAAAGATATCTACCCTCTGTCCATGCAGCTCCAGCCAGGTGGGGAGCTCAGCCTCGTCGCCAAACACTGTGCGCCAGTCGTCGCTCAGACGGGCGAAGCAGCGGGACTGTGTGTGACCAAGCGTCCCACAAGGCTGACCAGTCCTAGCACCTGTGCGAATGACGTACGGGCAGCGAACTGTACGTGTAGACCTGCTACACTGAGCGTACCACTCCTGGAGCTGCCGAGGCGTAAGTGTCTCGCGTGGACGCCCCTGCAGCTGCAGCTGGCCACTGCTAGACGCTCCCAACTGACCAGCCTTAGGGCGACAGCTACGACGGCTACCGCGACAACCCCAGCTAGTATACCACTCACTAAGCTGCTGGGGCGTGAGAGGCTCGCGTGAACGTCGCTGGAGCTGCATCTGGCCACCTGCCAGTAGCAGTAGCAGCAGCAGCAGCGCGGGCAGGGCAGGCGTGGCAGGCAGGCAGGCAAGCAGGCAGGCAGGCAGGCAGGCAGGAAGGCAGGCAGGCAGACAGGCAGGCAGGCAGGCAGGCAGGCAGACAGACAGGCAGGCCGGCAGGCAGGCAGGCAGGCCGGCAGGCAGGCAGGCAGGCGCGCAGGCAGGCAGGCAGGCCGGCAGGCAGGCAGGCAGGCAGGCAGGCAGGCAGGCAGGCAGGCAGGCCGGCAGGCAGGCAGTCGCTCACCAAAGGCTGGGAGAGCAGGCGCTCACCGGGCGAGCAGGGCCGGCGCTCGACAGCGGCGACGTCGGGGCCGCAACACCGGCTGCAGAGCAGGGCCGAAGCAGCTGCAGGGCGGGGCCGCTTCAGCGGCAGTAGCAGGGTGGGGCCGCGTCAGCGGCAGGTCGGGGCCGTGGCAGCTGCAGGGCGGGGCCGCATCAGCGGCAGGTCGGGGCCGTGGCAGCTGCAGGGCGGGGGGGGGGCGCATCAGCGGCAGGTCGGGGCCGTGGCAGCTGCAGGGCGGGGCCGCATCAGCGGCAGGTCGGGGCCGAGGCAGAGGGCCGCGCGCGGCTCGGCGCGGGCTGCGCTGACTGCGCGCGGAGCTGCTGCAAGCCGCGCGCGGCCGCGCTAGGCAGTAGCGGGCCGCGCGCGGCTCGGCGCGGGCTGTTGCGGGCCGCGCGCGGGCCGTGCGAGGCAGTAGCAGGCCGCGCGCGGCTCGGCGCGGGCTGCTGCGGGCCGCGCGCGGGCCTCGCGAGGCCGTAGCAGGCCGCGCGCGGCTCGACGCGGGCTGCGTGGGCTCGGCGCGGGCTGCGCGCGGCTCGGTGCGGGCTGCGCGCGGCTGCAGCGGGCTGCGCGCGGGTCGGTGCGGGCTGCGCGCGGCTGCAGCGGGCTGCGCGCGGCTCGGTGCGGGCTGCGCGCGGCTGCAGCGGGCTGCGCGCGACTCGGTGCGGGCTGCGCGGTCTCGGTGCGGGCAGCGCGCGGCAGCAGCGTGTTTGCGGGCCTGACGGGCGTGTAGAGGCGGCGCGCGGGCCTTACGGGCCCCTCTCCAGGGGCAGCGCGCAGGCCTAGGGCAGCAGGAGGCAGCGCTTGTGCAGCACGTCACAAGGCAAGGCAAGGCAGGCAGGTACGTGGGGTAGCGCGGTAACCGCAGCGGTAGGTGGGCCCGAAAAAAAACGGTCCTACGGACCTTAGTGCTCTGAAACCATGTTAGAATCTAGCAGCAGGAATGAATGAACTAGCAGGATGCAGGAGTACAAGTAGTTAACCCTAATTTGGTTGTACCCCATATGGGCTACCCCATTACAGCCTAGACAATATGCTGCACATACAGTTTGACAATTATCAGCGTTTCTTTCTGTACCAAGGCTGATGGATGAAGGTAGGGTAAGGACCTACAGCACCGCAGGCACAAAGCAGAAATGTAGCACACACACAGTGAACAATGTAGGACCCACAATAAACTCTTGTTTTCTGAAAATTATAATGTTTTTAGGAGCTCTCACCAGTGTGTTTTTTCTTCTTTGTGTCAGGCCTGATAACCACCTATATTAGCAACTTCTAGTCTATGCTTAAACGTAATGACGCACACACATCAGAGCTGGTCATTTCTCCGGGCGCTTCGGTGCAGGCCCAAGAGTGCGGACGACAGGGCCAGCAGGCTGCGAGGAGTACCCTCCATGCGCCTGCAGCTCAGCAATGAGCTGACCGATGGCGTCATGCACTTGGGCAACAGCAGACGCTGGGATGATGATAGAAGAGCGATCTGCGCCAAGCACCTGAATGGCAAGAAAACATAAAGGCTGACGATGAAACAACATGCAATGCAGACTCCGACAGTCAACACGAATGGAGCTCGGCACAAGAAAGAAAGATGGTGGTGCACTGCAGGCAAGTAGTGGGCTGACCTCAGACATCTTGAGGAAGTGGCCGCGCGGGTTGGAGCCCAGGTCGAGGAAGAAGCGCTTCTGGTCCGCCACTATCACACGCGATGCCATCGCACCTCCCGGCCCCACCGCACCCCCGGCTGAAGAGCCCAAGCCTGCCAAAACCCCCTGAGTGCCCCCTGCTGCTGCTGCACCTGCATCATAGCCTGCAGTCGTTGCTGCTGCCACCTGTGGTAAATAACAGGAGGGATAAAAACACGAGGTAGTTGATGGCATTGCATGGAAGAATGAATTAACAGCATACAGGGAGCCACAGCCCAGTTGCATACTCGGGACGGCAATGGGCTTATTCTCTACAAAGAATACAGGCCACTCAGTATGAGCCCTAATGGCACAAGATTCTGTGTCACTGTGTTCTGGCCAGTGTCAGAAACCCAGCCTGAGATACAGGTTGGTATGGTGCATGGGTTGCTACTGGCACTCACAGCCGTGTTCACACCAGGAGCGGCGCCTGGCAGAGTAAGGGAAGCCTCATGAATCTCCACCAGCGCATTGCGGAAGGCGGCCCAGCCATCATCAGTGGCGCCTGGGGTGGTCCCCGTGGTGGCAGGCACTATGATGGTGCTGCGGCCATGCACGCGACTGGCCTCCGACACCTGCACCCCGTGGGAGCACACACATCACAACATGCTCACAACAGTCAGGCCCTTGCAGCAACATGACACGTGCTAAGAGTGGCCCTTGCCAGCCCCTTGTCCATCCCGTACACATGCCCATGTGATCCAACCCCACGCCAGTGGAGATTACCCCATGCCATGCCATGTGAGACACATGGGCTTTCAGGCAGTACCAGCAGGAGGAGAGTGCTAACGCAGAACGAGGTGTGAGAGAGAACAATAACATGGCAAGGAGTCGAATGCAAGAGCGCGGCTGGCAGAGGCAGTGACCCCACGCTCAAGATGAGGGGCAGCAGAGGCAGGGCGGGGAGGCGGAGTGGCGGGCACCTTGAGGAATCGACCACGGGGGTTCTCTCCCACGTCGAAGTAGAACACCTGCCACGGGCCGCCCGGGATGCGCGCACCCAAGACGCACGGGGCGAGGGGGGCGAGGGACGAGTTAAGGGAGCATCGGAGATGTTCGAAATGACCAGCATAAGAGGGGGCGGGAAAGAGGAATCAGGATTGTCAAGTACGAGAAGGGCGTTGAGCGAGCGCGCGTGCGTGCGGGGGTGGCACCTTGGAGTCGAGCTGCAGCTCCTTGCTGTTGAGCTGGCCCTGCTCGCCGCCGTTGGCGTAGTAGTTGAACAGATCCACGAACCACACCACGCCCGCCACCGGCACCAGGATCGTCGACCGGTTCAGCGCCGTGCGCTCGCTGATCTTGAGGTAGCGGCCGCGCGGGTTGTCCTTGAGGTCGAGGTGGAAGAGCTTCTGCTCCAACTGCAACGACCGCGACACCAACTCCACGTCGCCCATCGCCATCGCCGCACGCGATCTCTGCACCGCACCCACCAACGAGCAACGAGCAATGCGCAAATTAGCTCCGCCCTTACGACTCTTTGAGACCTTTCGCCCTTCCGAAACCCACCACTTTCCGCTCTTTTCGCCCGCCAACCACCTCGCTGAATACGCGTGTCGTCTCGACTCAAACCGCCCGCCTCCTCCACTGCCTCCACCGCACCTCCCGCTGCCTGCCCGAATCACAGCCCCTCCTCCCTCAGTAGCACGTGACACGTCGCAATGAGCAGAGCAGGACGAGGAAACAAAAACATAACGGAACTTCGATGCGGAAACTTTATTCGTTCTGCGTTCGCCTCCGAATACACTGGGTGCAGCTATTGATTTAGAATGTATCCTACACTAGCTTTTTTTATTCACATGGCGTATGATGCAACAAACCACAGTTTGAATAGTAGCAGTAATATATACAGTACATGCCTTATATACACACAAATACGAGACAATTCCCAACCAGCACAGGGAGCTAATATTGTTTGCCTTGGTACACAACCTTATGCGCAGTCAACTCATCCTCAACCGTGTTAGGTAGAGGCAAGGTGCTTCGCAGCGTGCTGGAAACATCAGTGTAACAAGTTAGTGTGTGGGTGCAAGTGCTTGGTGCAGCTGCTGCTGCGAGTTGACTTGCACATCATGGTAGTAGAGCAGCACACATGCAGGCTGGCCCACAATGCAGAAGAAGAACCAGAAGAGCATGTTGCCCACCTGCAACAATCACCAGAAACACCAAAAGGAAGGCATTTCTTCACCATGTGACCCTATGCTATGAGCAATGCGAGCAGAAGCAGGAACGCAGACGAAGGGTAGTCAATGCATAAAAAAAGCGCAGGTAAAGAACCGTACCATTGGATTTTGAAACTTCTGGTAAAGATAGTTGGTGATCCAGACCAGAGTCGTATCTAGAGGGGAGGAAAAGAGGGCAGGGAGACACGCACACAGTATTGAAAGGACGACCACCATCCAGCCATGCCTCACCTATCCACAAGTCTGTCGCATACAGTCTTCTTCTCTCAACACCTAAGTATTTGATACCGTGAGCAACACAAACGGCTCTCAGGGCAATGGAGAAACAGTTCGATCAATACATAGAGAGCAAAGCATGAGCAGGTAGAACGGATTGAGGCAAGGGAGTGGCAGAGCGCTTGCCTGAAATATCATGCCAAGGAAAGCCCAGAGGCGAAACATGTGGCAGGGAATTCCAATCAGCACCTGCCATGCACGCACACGCAGGATGGAGGGAACGATGGGTGTCCATACCGCAGGGATAAGCTCGCATATGCGGTGCAATGATATGGGCGGGGGAGGCAGGATGATGAGAGGTGGGGGAGATTGTACCTCGTGGAAGACAGCTGAGAGGAAGAACACCACGAACACTGCCAGCGGCTGCCATGCACCACAACACACATCACACCACCACCCACATGTTAGCGCCGATTGAACCAAGCGGACCATGCGCAGTGGAGAAGGGCAGCACGGTGCTGCAATGCATACGCACAGCGAGACCAAGGCATGCAACACAACGGCATGAGGAGGGTTGGGGAGGCACCTTGGTGAGGCCGATGGAGAGGCAGGGAAAGTAGATGTGGCGCACCATCCACCGGTGCACAGGCTGGTGGGGCAGGCAAGGGTGTCAAGCGAGCATGGTTGGCAGAATGATGTGAGACGCGCACACTGGTCAACATGGGACAAAATGCAGACTCATGCGTGAATGGAAGCGAGCAAACATGGGAGACACTTACCATGTTCCAAAGCTTCCAGTACTGCAGGCGGAGACAGGTGCACCGCACACATACATGCACACACAGGCACCAGCACACACGCACAGAACAGGGATGGCAGAGCACAGTGTGAAGGCAGGCATGAAGAGCATAGTTGAAGGCAGGCACGAAACATAGTAGAGCGTGGGGACGGAAACGTGGGGAAAATGAGTGCACCTCCTCTATGGTCTTGGCGTTCCACCAGTCCCGGTAGAACTCCCTGTCCCCAAAGCACAGCAACTCGCCCAGGATGTTCAACCTGCCACCCATGCCGCCACACCAGGGAAGGAATCGATTGACACAACGCATGGAGGAAGGTCTGAGTGGAGACGAGGAGGCATGAGCAGAGCAGGGATGAGTGGGCGCTGCATGGACTGACCAGAGATGGAAGAAGCAGAAGAATATGCCGAGCCACACATAAAGAGTGGGGATGGAGAGCTTCAAGACGCGCTCTATGCTGTACAGAGAGTGCCCCTTGAGGGGATGCTGGCTGTTCTTGATTATGGGGTTGATGTACTGCCACACAGCGCAACCAAGTAAGCAGCACGTTCAGGGACAAAGGAAGACAGGGAGAGGAAAACTGTCACTTTAGCTGAGCATGTCGCATGCAAGAGTTGAGAACCTCCCAAGGTGGAAACATGAAAACGACGGAGGAAGAAGGATGGAGGTGGTGGGCGCGGGGGCGAACCTGTTCAATGATGAAGAGCACGAGCCCTGTGAACGTGAGTAGCTTCACCACCTGCTGCAGCAGCCACCCCTTGCGCACATGCGGTGCTCGAGGATACCCCAGCTGCCACACAGTCAGCAACGCACATGTGTAGGGGCGCACAGAGCACGATAGAGGAAGGGCTACAAGCAGTAAGACGGGTTGCAAAACAAGGCACTGGCTGGCATAAAAGCAACACTCCATGCAGCAGCAATGGGGCATGAGACAAGAGGGTGACGTGGTGAGGTGGCGTACCTGGTAACAGAGGGTGGGCGCAGCCATGAAGTAGCAGAGGTTGCCCACTGTGAGGTTCAGAGGGTACTGCACCACTGGCGCCCCTGCAGCAGGCACCAACTGCCGTGGACCAACAATGGCGTGACATCCGTGGGTGATGGGAAACGGAAAACGTTTATCAAGGGTAGTGAGCAAGGAGGGACACGGTGGAAAGAAGCGCTCTTTACATCTGTGTGGAAGCACAGGAAGCAGCAAGTGCGGCGTGCGACGGGCGAGCAGCAAGGGCAAGCAAGGTGAAGCGCAGAGGTTGATGTGCACCTGATGGCCTTCCGACAGCTTCTTGCGCACATCATGCAGCGTGTGCGCGTACGAGATGAGCTTCATGAACACCGTCACCGCCACAAAAATCAGCAGAAACCCGCCCAGGGGCTGAGAATGCACCCTGCAGGAAACAAAATGTCATGCACTGGTGAGAGTGGAACTGGGACACAGCGTACGAATGTGCAGCGCTGATATAGTGGTACATGGTCGTCAAACCAGCAAGGGCCTTCGAGTTACATGCCTGTTGATGACGATAGCTGGGTAGAGAAACTCTCCTGCAATGTTGACAACATGCAGAAATGCCGTCACCTGCGAGGGACACACAGCAAGGCCATGCAATATTATAAGCCTGCGTCAACAACTCTGGAATGAAACACACGTGTGTGACTGGCAGCAGTGCGACAGGAAAGGGAATGGGCGGGTGGCACATAGAAGAGGCACCTGCTCAGTAATGTAGCCGTGTGCGCGCAGCTTCTCAATGCAGAGCGCCATTAGGGGAAACGCTGCCAGACTCAGCCTGGAAAACAACAGACAGTTTGCATTGACAGGCAGCGCCGCGAGGGTCGGGAGGAAGGCGAGTGAGAGCACGGATGGTCAAAGGGGGAGGGGAAGAGGAAGAGGGAGAGAGGGGGGGGAGCAGAATCGCAAAAAAATGATGATGCCAGGACTTTAAGAGAGCATTGGCAGGGTGGAAGGGTTGAGGTAACTGACCCACACATGAGCAGAGGCCATTCACGCAGCGAGCTGCTGGAGAGCCAGAAGCTAGAGCGCGCCAGGATGCCATACTGCACAACACAGAGGCAGCCAGGCGTGTGGATGGGGGTTAGGCATATGACAGCACACACGTGACTCGCGCACGAGCACCACCACCACACAGAACGCATGCAAGGGCGTGGGACGCAGAATGGTGAGCACCGCACCGAGAAATGCCTATGCTCTTCAAACGCAGCACCGTGCCCCGCACACGCAATTCACTTAATCACAGACAGAGGAGAGCAATGCAGGAGCGAATGCACGAGAATAGGAGGGGGGTGACCTTCATGAGGTTCTCAATGATGAGGCGGCTGTTGACCGCCACCAGCAGCACAATGCACAAGTTGAACAGCCCTGCATGGCTCTGCACACACAAACCAGCAATCGTCGCATGGGTACAAGGAAACAGTTGTTGCGCACTGTGCACTATGTAGAGATATAGAAACGTTTTTTTTTCCAAATGGTAACGGGTTGTCGCATGCACATTCGCACAAGGATACGGACAGATAGGGGCTGTGTGAGGATGAGCAGAGGCGAACTGACCTGTTGGAAGATGGCAACGGAGCTCAGAGGGCTCTCCCTCACATGCTTGTGAGCCGGTGCACACACCCATGGCACCCCCCTCCTCTCTCCAGCCTTCCTCACTCGCTGCTCACCCTCCTCTCCTTGCCCCGCACGCCCATGCTCATACTGGCACGAGCTCCTGCTGTCGCCCTCGTCCCTGCCCTTCCTGCGGCGCACCCCTGCCGCTTCGCTGTGGCTACCACCGCCTGCCGCCCCTTGCTGCGCCCACGCCCCGCCCGGCCATGCGCCCTCCCGGCCATGTGAAGCGGCATGCAGCGGGGCGTGGCGCAGAGAGGCAGCAAAGCTGTCAGCGCGCTCAACGGAGGAGCTGCTGCTCGTCACCTCGCCCGCCGACGCCTCTGACGCCTCCCCCGCCGCCTCCTCCGCTCTCAACGAACCCGCCATTCCCTTTGTGGTGCCTGCAGCGTGGTGCTGCTGCAGGTGCGGTGCAGTGCACGATGATGTGGGCGTACAGCACCCTGCCGCCTGCACGGCAGCAGCAGCACAAGGCCAAGACACAATATACAGGGCGCAGCGCATACATTGGGAAAAGTTATGGGCCAAAGGCAAGCATCACTACCTTTTAAGGGAAAAAAAAACAAAAAAAAAAAAAAAAAAACAAAAAAAAAAAACATGCAAGGCAAAGCTACCTGCAATACCAAGCCAAAAGAGGTGCGAAACAGCGTGCGAGAGAAGCTTACCTGCAAAGCAAGCATCCAGTTGTAAACCTCTGCTTCGTCTCTGGAGCTCAAGCGCAGCAGCATGTTGCCCTGCGAGTCCTCTGGCACACACCGTACGAGTCAAAACACGAATAGAAAAAACCATGACCGCAGGGTCTGCCACTACAACAAGCCAGCACAGCAATTCTGACAGGAAAGCGGCGGAGATAGAAATCGAGGCGAGAGCTTTCTGAAGGTGCAGAGAGCGAGGGCGCACCGAGGCGGAAGATGAAGAAATTGGTGGCGCTGAAGCCGTCGGGCTTGGCCCCTTCAAGCGCGACGACGCACGAGTGGAGCAGCACGGCCTCCTCAGGGCGATGCTCCGTGTCCCTCTCCGACTCCCACGCCATCAATAGATCGCCCGCCAGCCTGCCAGCCGCCACGCCATGCACGCAGCAACACGGCGCATGATGAGCCTCCACATCGCAAGGCGAAAATCACTGGCCAATGCTTTCACACGCGAGCACGGCAGCAGAAGCGCCTTAAGATATACTTACACAAAATAGCGACGGTGCCATGTGCGTTCCCATACCCTTGCCCTACCATCGAAAAAAGGATCACATAAGGAAAGAGGTAAGGGAAGGTACACACTGAAGGACGAAGCGACGGGAGAAGCACTGGAGCGATGGGCGAGATGCAAAACGACACGAGCTAGCAGGTGCGACGGCGCAACGAGGTGAAACAAGTTCGAGGGAATATACCATGGCCGATAGCGATTCAGGTACCCGCAACGGAGCAACGGTGCTGGGAGCTGTCGGGGTTTGGAGGGAGGGTAGGGAAAGCGCGGGAGATAGGGGGTGAAGGTGGCTGATGCCGGACTCGATCGAAGGAATACTGAAAGTGAACGCGGTGTAACGCTGGAATAAGGGGGAGGAAAGGTCGGGCAACGAACACACAAACAAGCATGTCAGGTGGAGCATGCACAGGGGAAGCACAGCAAACGGAGAGGAAAGGTGAGACGTCCAACGAGCCACGGATGGCGAAACGCAAGCGTGAGGCGCGGACCTGCCAAGTTGGAGCTGTGGGAGGCGAGAGTGGAGGCGGGGTAAGGGGAGCCGGCGCCACAACGCTGGCCAGCATGTCCGTCTTGGTGGCGCCCACACGCGCATGCAACAACTCCATCGCCTCGCGGTTTAGCGCGCCGGTGAAGACGGACCAAGCCCGCGGATCAACGAGACGGGCGATCAACACGTGCAATCGAAGAGGACGGAAATTTGCTGGTGCACGCACGGTGCCTGGACAATGCCAATTCACAACTAGCACAGCAGCGATGACTTCCTACAACAGAAAGATAAAACAATTTACCTCTAAAACGTCAAATATAACAACTGCGTTGACTACTGAACGTCCCGACTGCCGCACGGCCCAATTCACCATACAGACCACCTTACGATAACCTTAACTGGCAATTCGAGGACAGGACAGACACGTCCCTACCCAAGCTGTGTGGGAGCTGGTGGAGGAAACGCAGTGAAGATGCTCGTGCAATGAATGAGAGACGAATGCTCCACGCAACTGAACACACTGTTTTCTCATCCCAGCCGTTCATGAGTGAAAGTGAGTGGACGAGCCGATGAGTTGTTGGTGGTGGTGGGATGGCCCCGCTGGGCCAGCAACGGCCCGGAGGTGACGTGGTTCTGCATCACTCGCGACGAGGTTGGGCCAAAACTGACGCCAAGTAGTGCTGGCATCTCGGCCTCGGCGCGCCGTTGCGACACGGGAATCACACTTTTGATTCTCCGAGGAATTGACGGTGATGACAGACGTTCCCGTAGGGTGGTCAGCTGAATCGTCGATGTTCACCACAATTCACCAACCTCCCAGAACAGTGGGAGAGCAACCGCATTGGAGAACTTCGTATACAGTCCATTACCCGAAAGCGAGGAACAGTAAGCGACTGGTGCCTGTAAGAAATTACTTTTCCTTAATTGGTTATACCATAACAAGTCAAACACAATTCATCCATCCCTTGTTGAGCCACAACAGCCCCACGTTTCTAGCAGGTAGATCTAGCGTCGTGTGGAGACCTGAAGTGATGAAATCAGAAGGCCGACAGGAGGCTGTGAACATGAACTGAGGGTGTTCAGCCATTGAGTTAGTGTACAAAGACGTTGAGTTGAGGGTGTGGCACATATGGGGGTACACCAACACAACGCCAGAATGAAGTGAACCATAAGAGAGGTGATACGAAGAGGAAACCCTAAGAGTTGCTGCGATCAAGAGTTGATCGTGGCCTAGGATCTACTCAGGAAGGTTCGCACACAGTGAGATAGTTTGGTGGGCCCTTGACCTCAATAGCAGAGTGAATGTAAAATGCTTGAGATGAATAAAACATGCAAACAAGGTGATATAAATAAGAGTACAATGGAATACGAAAAGACCTAACTAGCCATGTGCTCTAAAGGATACATTCCCTTATTCAAATGCATTCCCAACCGTGCGGCGCGTACAGTTTCGTAACTGTTCCCGCCAAAACCACCTTGCCTGCAGCTGCCCGATGCCGTCTGCTCCGACGGTCCAGATGCGTCCCAACTGTCTGACGCTTCGAGTCAATTCTGTTAGAAATAGAAGAGGAACCTAGGCTTAGGTGAAACCCTAGCCTAGGTGAGAGTTGAGAGTAACGAGATGTAAGTTGGGCAAAGGTGGGGAAGTTCACTATTGAGCAAGGTACAAATAGGAAACACAGCATGCAAAGAAGGTGTACCACCAACAGTTCATTATAATAACTACAGTAACTATCGTAAGCAGGATATAATATAACTTGACACACCCCCTTAGCCTGCTTGCGGTAGGAACTGGCGCAGTGGAAGAAGGCAAAGAGGTAAGGAAGGACGAGGAGGCGAGAGGAGAGGAGAGAAGAGGAGAGGAGGTGGGGGGCCAGTGCCGGCGGACCCGCTTACGAACCTCCTTTTACAAAGGGGAGGTGAGAGAGGAAAGGGAGAGGAGGTGGGCTAGGTGGGCATGAGCGCGCAAGCTCATAGCGATCCCCCCCCGTTAATAACCCCCAAGTCCCGATGAGGAGAGGAGGTGGGCTAGGTGGGCATGAGCGCGCACGCTCAATGCGATCCCCCCCCGTTAAGAACCCCCAAGTCCTCACCCCCCTTGTCACTCAACCCCTTGAACCTCACACCCTCCGCACCTTTCTACTTCCGCCACCCCCTCACCCTTTTCCACTTCTTCCCCCCTCTTAACCTCTCTCCTCCCCCCCCCCCCCCCCTACAGCAACAAATGCTGCAGTGGAGAGAGGAAGAGGGAAGGGAGGGACAGCCTGCTGGAGGTTCACACCCGCCACCCCCACGTCTCCCCTCCCCCCCCCCCCCCCCACGACTGAAGCCGCGGAAGGGAGGGCGGGAGGGGGGGCAGCGTGAGCAGCTGCCGGCGCTGGCGCTGGCGGCAATCGCAGCTGCTGGCGGTGGCGCTGGCGGTCCGCGCAGGCACTGGCGCTCACGGCTGGCTGCGGCGCTGGCGCTCGCGCTGGCACTGGCGCTCGCGGCTGGCCGTGGCGCTGGCGTCCGCACTGGTGAAGGCGGATCGCGGGGCGACGGGGGCCGCGGGGCGACGAAACGGGGTTCGCAGACGACGGGAAGGGGTGCGCCCCGACGACGGAACGCAGGGCGCCGCGGCGACGGAACACGGGGCGCCGCGGCGACGGGAACCGGGCGCCGCGACGACGGAAAGCGGGCGCCGCGGCTACGGGAACGCGGGGCGCCGCGGCGACGGGAATTAGGCGCCACGGCGAACGGGCAGGGCAGAACGCGAGCGACGGGCGAACGGGAAAAAAAAAATGGTGCATTTCGCGCTGTAGCATAGGCGGGCCCATATCTTACAGAAAATTAGGTCCTAAGACCGTAGTGGCTCTGATAGCATGTTAGAAATAGAAGAGGAACCTAGGCTTAGGTGAAACCCTAGCCTAGGTGAGAGTTGAGAGTAACGAGATGTAAGTTGGGCAAAGGTGGGGAAGTTCACTATTGAGCAAGGTACAAATAGGAAACACAGCATGCAAAGAAGGTGTACCACCAACAGTTCATTATAATAACTACAGTAACTATCGTAAGCAGGATATAATATAACTTGACAAATTCCAACCGTCTGACGCTTCGCGTTCATTCTCGTTACTGCGTGCTTCTCTTTGCTGCGGTGAGGAGTGCACAGTAATATCAAATGTTACTATTCGTAACACCCCCCTTCACTCCTGGCCGTAGCTCGACTTGACCTGCTTGACCACGCCGCTGAGTTCGGAGCAGTGTTGATACTGCTGACGTGGCAGTCGCTTCGTGAGGAAGTCTGCTGCCATGTCACCGGTCGGGCAGTAGGTCAAGTTGACTTTGCCCCTGTCCACCTCATCCTTCACAAAGAAATACCGCAGCGCAATGTGCTTGGTGCGGTTGACGAAACCAGGTTTGTTCGCGATACGGATCGCGCTCTGGTTGTCGCAGTGAAGGCGGAAGGTCGGCGAAGTCGGAATTTTCGCTTCTTGCAGGAGTTCCTGCAGGTAGAGGCCTTCGCGAACTGCTGCGGTTGCTGCGATGAATTCCGCTTCGGCTGATGACAGGGCAACCAACTCCTGCTTCTGTGAATTCCAGGAGATTGGTCCCGATGGCTCGAGTCGGAACAGGAAGCCGGTCCTGGACCGTCGATTATCAGGGTCTGCTGCGTGATCGGCGTCCACGTAGCCTACGAGGTTGAAGGATGGAGTTGGTGCAGTTGAGTAGCACAGCCCAATCTTGGGCGTTGAGACGAAGAATTGAAGAGCGCGCTGCAGGTCCAGGTGATTCTCAGCCGTTGGTTTGCGTGAGTACTGCGCAAGCTGACTTGCGATGTACGAGAGATCTGGCCTGCAGGTGACAGAGGCGAAGAGGAGGCATCCCAACTGCTGCTGGTAAGTCTGGATCCCAGCAGGGGATAGGGCTTTGTTGTCAGGTTTGTGGTTCGGTCCGGGGGTTCGGTAGGGAGTTGAGAGGGGTGCCGATGAAATGTTGAACCGCTTCCCTAACTCCTCTGCGTACTTAGCCGCTGAGAGGTGAATGGCCTCAGGTGCGTAGGAGATGTTGAGGCCTAGGAACTGCTTCACCTCGTAGTTGCACGTGATGTCGACGCGCCCCGCCAAGGCCTTCTCGAACTGCTCGAGAAGCTCGTTGTTTGAGCCTGTGTATAGAAAGTCGTCGACGTACACCGTGAGGAGAATGTATTCGCCGCGGAAGTCGCGGCGGTACATCCCTGGATCGTGCGGCATCTGCTTGAACCCGATTTCAAGCAGGATGTTGTGCAGGTACTGCTGCCACAGCCTCGGAGCCTGCTTGATGCCGTAGAGTGATTTGCGCAGCTGACACACGCGTGAGTCTCCTTCGCCATAGGTTTGTGGCTGCTCCACGTAGATCACGGCGTCTACTAACGCGTACAGGAACGCGTTCTTCACGTCGATTTGACGGAGTGGCAGGTGCCTTGCAGCTGCGATGGCGAGCAGGATGCGGACGGAGGTGTGGCGGCTGACTGGGGCAAATGTCTGGTCGAAGTCGATCCCATGCCTCTGGTCATAGCCGCGAACCACCCAGCGTGCCTTGAAGCGCTCGATCGTTCCATCCGCCGCGGTCTTCACGCGGAAGACCCACTTCCCCGAGAGGATCCTTGCGCCCTTGATTGCTGCGCGGTCGACGAGCACCCAGGTGTCGCGTGACTCTAGTGCCTTGATTTCCGCGTCCATCGCCTCGCGCCATTCCTTGCTGTGTGGTCCAGAAAGAGCTTCCCGCGGGTTTCGTGGCTCGATAATGCGCGGCGCTTTCGAGGTTGCAGCGTGGAGTCCGAGCAGCTGCAGCCCCGAGACGGTGCTGTCGTGGCGACGTTGCGGGATGACTTCCTGCACGTCATCGTCGTCGCTTTCAGGTTCAGGTGGTGCTGGTGGTGCTGCGCCTCCGCCGCTTCCTCTCGTTCCGCTTCCGCCTGCTCCCGAGGAATCGTCTCGGGATGGCGTCGCTGCTGCGCCGATCCTCCCATGCGAATTCCCCCCTTGTGTCCTGCTCCAAGATTGCTGCAGCGGCTTCGTCTTCAGGCGTTGCGTAGCTGTGGCCATTGTTGGCGTAGACGCGATTCGCGTTCGTTTCCTCGTCGCGGCGGAACTGGTCGAGGAAGAGACGCTCGTAGAAGATTACGTCGCGAGCGTGGGCGGTCTTCTGGCTGAGGAGATCCAGGATGATCCACGCCTTGTATTCGTGACTGATGCCGAGGTGAATTCCCCAGCGCGCGCGGCTGGCAAATTTGCCGATGGTTGATGTCGGCGGGCGGTATTGGACCATGCATCCCCATACGCGGAGCATGGAGGTATCTCCCTTGGTTCCTGTCCATTTGAGGTGCGGAAACAGATTGCCGGTAATCGCGGTGGTTGAAAGGAGGTTGTGCACCCGTACGGCGTGGTGCATCGCGTAAGTCCAGTAGATCGGCGGCAGCTTTGACTGCTTCATCAGCGCGCGCACCTTCGTCATCAGCGTGCGGTTCGTCCGCTCAGCTACGCCCTGCTGCTGGTGCGCGTAGGGAAGGGAGATGTGGTGCTCGATC